ATATATATGTATCTATATATATATATATAGATATATAGATATATAGATATCAGGTCGGCGACCTCACAAGGGACAGGTGAGCGAAAATCGGGAATGGATTCAGTGTTCAGTGTAGAAACTAGGTATTGATTCAGGGTTCACCATGCACAGTGACGACGACAAGTTGCGAAGGGGATCAAGCAGCTATATAAAAATGTTATCGTGGCTATGGCGAAAGGTAATCGAGCTGCGGAACGCGGATCGGCTATGGCGGACAGAGGTGGAGGGTGGAGAAAAGACATCAGAACACGTCCACTGGCGAAACAACAAAACCAAGAATTCATTCGGGGTTCAACAGAACGCGGCTGCGGCGTTATATCCTGCAGGTAGAAACAGGGCATCTGGGAATCTGTTCAGACATCGGACACAGAATAGGACAATTCAAGTTATATAATTTTACCTTCGTCGTGCGTTGAGCGAGTGACCAACGTCGGACGGATATGGATGTGCGACCACCGAACCAGCTATGGTGGAGGGATATCGAGCTAGGAAGAGCGAAGAGCGAAGAGCGAAGAGCGAAGAGCGAACCGAACACAATGTGGCAACTGCGGACGGAGCGAAGAGCGAAGAGTGAGCGGGCTATGGCAGAAGGTGGTGGGGGCTGAAGACTAAATATCAGGTTCTGCGCCATCAAGGTGGGGCCTGCGTCGGGATCAAGGTGGGGCCGAATAGATTCGCATATGGCTCCCCTGGGCCCATAAAACGCCATCAAGCTGGGGCCGAATCGATTCGCATATCGCACCCCTAGGCCCATAGAATACCAGGGCCTATAAACGGTAAGGGGTACCGGAAATTGTCAGCTGTCGATCAACAATTTTCAACCGCGCAGATGAACGGAGCCACTGATATAACAGTGGCCCCAAAATCTCCGTTAACTCCTGCGTGCAATGATGTGACAGTTCCCGAATACAAGGGGCAGGCAATGTCATTTTCGCAATTATAATCTGGACCATCGATCGGCATGATCCGACACACGAGGTCAGGCACAAGAATCTATAAGGTGCGGCAATTCGTTATGCGCCGAGGCGGTTCGTTGCGCGCTGAGGCCAGTCGACGGTTTATTTCCCGTCGAAGCGTGTTAATTCGTTGTGCGCCGAGGTCAAAAACACCCGAAATCTATAAGTTCCGGTGTCGATGTCATTCGGACATTTTGCAAATGTCAACGACGTTGGATATCGATGCGCTTAGCCATGCACCATCACCATCGATGCGCTTAGCTCATCGCCATCGCCAACGCTCGCCATGCACCATCGCCAATGCTCGCCATGCACCATCGCCATCGATGCGCTTAGCTCATCGCCATGGCGACGCAAAGCTATATCCCCCAGCGCAGCCGTCACGCTCGCCTGACCATCGCAGCGCTAACAATCACCATCGCTCTCATCACAGCGCTGGCCATCGCTGCGCCATCGCAATGCTGGTTCCATAGCTGCCATCGCAACACTGGTTCCATCGCTGCGTCATCGTTATCGCTGCCATCGCAACGCTGGTTCCATAGCTGCGCCATCTCTCAATCGGTGCGCCATCGCTATCGCTATTCCATCGCTACGCCATCGCTCTCCACTGGTGCGCCATCGCTATCGCTGTTCCATCGCTGCGCCATCGCTCTCCACCGGTGCGCCATCGCTCTCCACCGGTGCGCCATCGCTATCGTTGTTCCATTGCTGCCATCGCTATCGCTGCCATCGCTATCGTTGTTCCATCGCTACGCCATCGCTCTCCACCGGTGCGCCATCGCTATCGTTGTTCCATCGCTGCGCCATCGCTCTCCACCGGTGCGCCATCACTGCGCCATCACTATCGTTGTTCCATTGCTGCCATCACTATCGCTATCGCTGCATTGTAACGCGTTCCATTGCTGCGCCATCGCTCTCCACCGCAACGCTGGTCATCGCTATCGAAGCCCTGGCCAGTGTTATCCCACCGCAGCGCTGCGCGATTTTTCTCTCCATCGCCGCACGATCTCCCTCCATCGCTAAGTGATCACTCTCCATCTCACTCTATCACTGCGCGATCTCTCTCGACCACCGGGCAATCTCCATCCCTGCGACCGAGGCTCTCCATCACTCCTGCGCGATCCCGCCATCGCCATTATATTGTTGTTTCAGGCCGTCGTCGGTGCAACCGCCCATCACTGCGGAATCGCACGAAACAAGTGACAGGTATGCTTAACGAAGGTTTAACTCGATGAAACTGATGTTGTGCAATAACAAATCTTGGTCATCACTGTGCCTTCTCTCTCCATCGCTGCGACATCGCTGACCATTGTTGCGCGTCCTCTCTCCATCTCTCTCCACCGGTGCACGATCTCTACCGACCTTTCGTCATCTATCTCCATCGCTGCTCTATCTCCATCGTCATCTATCTGCTTCGGTGCGCCATCTTTCTCCATTGTTGTGCTATCGCTAACCATCGTTGCGCCCGCTATCTCCATTAGTGCGCCATGTTTCTCCATCGTTGCGCAATCTCTCTCTCTCCCTGCCGCACATCTCCCTAATTTGTTACTGTTTATTCCATAGGTCAAAATTAACTCGCACTTGTACCCCCAGTTTCGTAATGAAAATGCCCGTTTGCAAGTGCAAATTTATTCGCTCTTCAACCAACCATCCCCCTAAATTTGTTACTCTTTAGTCCATAAGTCCCAGTTTCATAGTGAAAATGCTCGTTTGCAAGTGCGAATTTATTCGCTCTTTAACCAACCATCCCCCTAAATTTGTGACTCTTTAGTCCATAAGCCCCAGTTTCATAATGGTAATTCTCGTTTGCAAGTGCGAATTTATTCGCTCTTCAACCAACCATCCCCCTAAATTTGTTCCTCTTTAGTCGATAAGTCGCGTCTCTTCTTGACCCAAAAGCATGAAGTCCTTTTGTATTTGCGTAATTGAAATATTCCTTTGAAGTGCGATTTTATTGGCACTT